ATAAATGTATTGAAGTATACATTAACCGATTCAAATAATATCTAATGAATAGAAACAAAATTGTTAGTAATAAAACATTATTATCTGCACAAAAATACAGAAGATCGAACAACACTGTCGACGTACGCGTGCCAAATACGCTTCTACAAATTGCGAAAGAGCAGCAATCCAGTGGAACAAACATATTAATTATAAAACATTGCGACGTCGTATTGAAATGTACACTGGGTAATTGCAAATCAGGGAATCTCAGTAATTGTATTAAAAATCCTATGTTCCGTTAAAAACTTTCCAAATGTGTATAGATTACATGGTTGATTAAATTCGAAGTATTGCTTGAAGAAAGACACAAATAGAAATGTGAAATATGTTGGTGTGCAAGTTATGCAAAGTAAGAGTTTGATTAAGGAATTTAAGTGGTTATATTTTGGTCTGACTAATAAGCTTGTAAAAAGATGTAAAATATTAGAAATACGAAACAAATTTGTAATTAAGTGGTGCATTGTAGTATTTTTGTATAATTGTATATTATTTTGAAAATAATTGTATATAAATCATTTAATTATTTTTTGCAATATCAACTCATAATATTTTGTATTTGATGTTAATATTGTTTTCTATGATTAATCTTATTAATTTATACCTCCCCAACAAACAGTAAATATTGTATAAATGTAAAGACAATAGTGTTAACTTTGATTCTTGTGTGGTCGTTCTAGCGGAGATATAGTACTGAAAATGACGAGTTTTTTCGAATGACCACTTTTTTATAAAATAAAGAGATAATAAATACCTGTTATAACTATTTAATAAATAGTAAACATTTTTTTAAGTTTTGTTTTTATTTTAATTATTATTCTGATAAACGCCCTTTAATCCCTTCCTATCAATGTAACGTTTATATATGTTTCGCCGAGCTTGGATCAAATCAAATTCTCATCTATTTTTATTGTTTTGAGTAGGTATTTGTTGATAATATTTTCTGTTCTTTACACGACACCCAATATTCTTCATCAGGTAGCACCTCTTTGATTTGTCCAACAAAATATTTTATCGTTTTTGTGGTAGCAAACCTCACAAGAACAAAACTGCTCACTTCCAAAGGTCTATCGTCATCCTCTTCTTCATCGAAATTCTCAGTAAGTGTGGACGAGGCAAACGAAATTTCCTGCTCACTTGATCTTCATTTTCTGATGAGCTAGGGGAAGCAATTTTTACTAATGGAAGCTTTTTCGTAACCTTGGACTTCAGCTTTTCATCAAGTTCATCTTTAAGCTTCTGAATATTGGGGGTACTTGTTAAAATTTCGGTTGCCCTCTTCTTCCGTCCACGCTTAGATTGGACTTGTCTTTCTGCTTTCGGGAAAGGTCTCACCAATTCGGGTGAAAAGTATAGAGCACCCTCTTCATCACCTTCGGTTGAGATCTCATCACCTTGAACAATCGTTGGAAGTGTTTCGTTGGTTGATTGTGAAGTAGATGGCTGAGGTTCAAATGGTATATTGATGGGTGCTGGCTGGGGCTCAAGTGGTATATCGGTCACTGATGCTGGCAAAAATTCATGTTCCTTGAAACAATTCTTATTAAGCGGATAAATACCAGTACTTTTAAAGGCGGAAACTATATTTTGTGTGCAAAAGGCCTGGCCATAACTTTGGCCCAAAATCTCGGCAATGTTATAGATATCAATTCGTTTTCCCGGATGATTGGCAATCCAAACTCCACACTCCTTATTATAGTATTTTTTAAGTGGGCCGAAAACAGAAACATCCAATGGCTGGAGCTTATGGCTTGTGTGGGGTGGAAATGTAAGCAAGATCACATTATTGGACTTAGCGGTCTCTATTACTTCCAAACTAATATGTGTGTCATGGTTATCCATGATAAGCAGGACTGGTCGATTTTCAGTAGGACCCGCATGTTTGATAAAATGGTTTAACCACTGTAAAAAAATCTCTTTCGAGCTCCATCCTGAAGGATTTGCTGCTCCTTCACTTCCAGGTGGAGCCCCAACTAACATATGCTGTTTGAAATTTTTTCTTGGAAATACCAACAGAGGAGGAACTGAGTTTCCAATTGCATTTATTGCTCCTATCATGGTGACTAGGGTTCCTCGCTCTGCCGAAGTAATCTGGCCGACTTGCTTTTGGCCCAAAGTAGCAACAACCTTATTTGTACTCTGCACCGTAGTTAAAGCCGTTTCATCTACATTGTAGATCTGATCAGGGCCAAGTTTACGAGATAAATAAATATCACTCAGATTTTTGAAGAATTTGTCAACTACAGGCTTATTGAATCCCATGGCTCGAGCTAGTGACGTTGCTTCAGGGACCCTTAATGATAAAGTAGGGTTTCTCTTCATGAACCCGTTGAACCATTTGGAGCCAGCAGATTTGTTTGTTTCCCAGCATTCGGGTACCTTTTTCTTGTAGAAAGTAGCTAGATCATATGCAAAACTTTTTACTTGGGTTGGCGTGAAGCCATGATGGAGATTTGCCAAATGTTTGATGTACGAGCTCAATTCTTTTTCTTCTGCAGAAGTAAAGATCTGATGACATGCATAATTTGGAGTCAATCTAGGATGCTTGGCCTCATTAAAGTCTATGTTCTCCATTTGTCTCCTGCATTTAGTGACATATCTTCTCAATGTCGTACGGGAATATTAAAGTATTTTGCCGCTCTTTGTGTAGACCAGCCGCCCTCTAGTACTTTTTGTACTGCTTCCCGCATTACATGCTCTGGAGTAATTGTCAGTTTCTCACCTTTCGGCATCTATAAAAAAATAAAGCATTAAAACCGAATTCATTCCCACAGTGGCCACCCCTAAATGAATCCAAAAAGCAGTGGCCACTGTTGGCTACATTTACCATGGCCACTGTAGGAATTATCACATTTTTTAGAAAAATGGTAGATATGATATTCTATACAATTTTTAGCAGATGAAAACAGGGGAAATATGTGGTCACTAGATACACAATTAATGCCATGGATGTTACTTGGAATAAAATATAAATGATAATGTACAATTTTACTCACTATTTTGATGAAAACGTAACTTTTTGCGTCGCAAAACACACACCTTCTCACTGCTCGAACTACACGTGACTGACAGATGCATCGTCACCGTGCAACGTTGCTGATGCTAATGCGCACCTAACAAGGTTGGTGGCAGCACGCACCAGGATATAGATTCGCAGAAATTTAAAAGTGTCCACTGTAGGAGCATGGCCACTGTAGGGCACTGTCCCTTACGTTTATGTAACCAATGAAAAAAGCTGTCAGTTTTAATTTGAAACTTATATTTTAAAAAGGGTTTTCATCTGAAGTTGCAACTCCCGTAACAGCGGCGGCCGGCCAGGTGAAGTAGGCGAAGGTGAGGTTCACAAAATAAATATGATTAAATTAAGACAAATAACTAAAAAATAAAAGCAACAATATTATATCTAAATTCTGAAATCAATTATTTATTCTCTTTTAATTAATCTAAAAATTAAAAAGCCAACTACTTTATTAGCGGTAGATACTTGACGGCCAAGTCCTGACCTGTGTCACTAGCCGTGTAGAATTCAGGAATAGGTGAATATCATTTTTGAAATGCGAAATCCATCTGCATAAGCGTTCACGGTTGCCATAACAACGTGACGTCAGCCTATCCTTAGTGATGGCTGAGAAAACTGGCGAGTGCAGTTCCGCCAAAAAAGTTATTATGCGTCTTTTTTATATAGTATAGTGTATAGTATATAGTATTTATTAGTTTAGTTTAGTCACAGTTTTAAGTTTATTTAGTTAGTGCACTTTATTAATACATTTCTCTGTGGTTTGTTTCGGATTTCGGATATAAAGTGTTCTCGTGGATTTCGTTTGTACAAAAAAAATTTAGACAGACATGAATCCAATTAATGACTTGGTGTGTAATATATTAGAGACTCCGTTTAGGCATTAGAAAAATGAAGATAAAAGGGATGTTCTTTTACATAGTCGACCAACCAGTATTTTAAAACATCTGCGTCTGATCCAGAGTGGTCGCTGCAATCAGCATCTAACACAGAGTGGGCGGCTGAATCGAAACTCACCAACCCGTTTTAGCAGGCGTGGTGTTTAATCGCCAAAAAACCCTCAATGAGATGTCAAGTATTAGAACTAAAATACCCCAGGCAAACAGAACAAATCGTATCTAGTATAAGTGCCCTAAAAAACTGTTCTCAAGTTATTAAGGCCCTAAAATCTATACATTTTTTTAACGCAACTTTTAATGAGATTTGGGCGCGAAGTAGGTACCAAAACTGCTTTTGGCTCCGGCAAGCTTTCCTCATTTTCACCACTTTTTTAGGCCACGAGCCGCCGCTGCCCGGTAAAGTATTATCAAGATGGCAACTGTGGTTAATTTGAACGTATATTAATTACAAAAGTATGATGCTACAAGAGAATAACAACACACAATTCTTGAACGTAATCCTTTCTCTCCTGAGGTATATGTAACTTTAATGACTTTTCACCTATTAAACCCAAATTCAATAGGGCTCATCCTTGGATCAAACGGAATCGAGGTATGTATTAAGTTTCTAGATTTTAGAATTTTTCCTTCAAGCTTTATTGTTTAGACAGACAACGACACGATTTCAAAAAGGACCTGTTAGGTCTATAAAAAACCATTCACCAAATCAAAAGAAATGTTTAACAGATCAGTACCACATAACAAAAGTCATACAAATCTGTTAATGATCAATAAACACGCAGAATACTCTACTAATTTGGTAAATTAGATTAATTTAGAAGAGTTTCTGTTCATAATACTGCCAAGAATTAGAAAATGATAGTGGCTTTAGACTTATAAATAAGCTTAATGAGCCACAACTTTTGTTAAAGCTAGAAGCTTTTAAATAAAGCAGAAGGACAAGACGGTATTACTAACAGGGCTTTAATACATCTCTTAATTTTACCAGAATGTAATCAGATAAAAGTACCAGAACACAAAAAATTGTGCAGATGGCATTAATAAACATGGAAAAAAGTTTCGAATCTGACCCATATGCAACAGATGAAAGTGATTCGTTTCATTTAACTGAAAACGATAATAGTGGTAACGAAACTTTGGGCACAAGTGAGCATTCACCAGCAGGTATTTTCTACTTATTTTAGTGGCATATTATCTTTGTTTAATGATTTAGGGAAAGTTATTTGGTAAATTTGTTTGACCGATTTTGTAAATAGAAGTCAAAGATTTGGCTAATAGCCTCACGTGGCAGGTAAAAAAAAACGTTTAATATTCTTTCTTTTTGTAAAAAAGACAATTTTCTAAATATATAACAGGAACTTTATACCTGCTTTACTTTAAATGTGTACCAGTTAGTCTAAAGAAGTAAGTAATGGATAAATCAAGGCGTCGCGTCGCTTGCATTTTGGATTTTCGGTCCTTAAGATCTAGAAACTGTATCTACATAAATAAACAATGATACTATGTATAAAACACGCTTTTCATGTTATTCATGCAGCATCAAGTTATGTTTTTTTAGAGACTCTTGAGAATATTCAGCAACTTGTGAGACATAGTGAAGAACCAGGTACCTCAACTGCAGCTATTGAAAATTTGGGCTGTTCATAGGAAGTCTCAATAAGTAAACGTACGAATACCACAGCATGGAAACGATCTATAATTAAGGCAAAAAGAACAAAAAAGATTTTTTTGTTACCCATTCTGTAGCCATGACCTTTACGTACTACTTGTATTATTTTATCCATTATTATATTAAAGATAAGTGGGCTCAACGAATCTGGATATCCTCGATCAGTCATTTTCAACTTTCACTTTTGCTGTTTGGTTCCAATAGAGGTTACATATGATTCTAATATCTCTACTGTATATGTTTTTTATTTTAATAAAATTTCTGTAAGCTGATTATGCTGCTTTCTGTCAAATGCCTTCTCAAAATCATGAAATGAAATAGGCATATACTTCCTAATTAATATGTAAGCATCTCTGCGAAAGAACACTTACTGCAAACAGTGCATCTAGTGTTCCCAGTCCTTTCCTAAATCCCATTTGTGTATTACTTATGTCTTCATCCAATTTCTGATGTATTCTATTGTAAATTACTTTAAAAAAAATTTTCAAGACATGACTCGTTTAAGGCTATGGTACGATGTTCATTGCACTCCTTTGCCTTGGCTTTTTTGGGAAGCAGTATGCATGTTGATTGAAGCCATTCTTTAGGTATTATACCTTTGAGTATTTGGTAGGAACTTCATCAGGCCCAGGAGATTTACCACCTTTAACTTGTTTAATTGCATATAAAATTTCTTCTTGTATAATGTCAGGCCCAGTATCATCCTTAAATTCTTTTGGTGCTTCTGTTCGCTTTTTGTCTTCAAAAAGTTGTGCTATATATTGTGTCCATCTCTGCATTTTTTTTGGTTTATATCTGTTATAAGTGCACCACTTTCATCTCTTAGTTGCCTAGTTTGAAGTGTTTTTCTCATTCCTGTTAATTCTCTAATTCTTTCATGCATGGAACTGCTCATATAACATTCTCTCCTTGGCTTCTTTATTTCTTTAATTAAATTGATTAGTTTGATTACATTTAATTGGATTTTTTGTATTGAATTATTTTCTTTTATTCATTAATAGTAGTATTTTTTCAGTCATCCAGTCTTTATGTTTTATATTCTTTGGTTTTAAGTTTTCATTTACTGTTTTAATTATTGCTACTTTTATATTTTCCCATTTTTGATCAATGTTATAGCTACTTTTATTCAGTTCTTGGGCATTACGTAGATTTTCAGTAAGAGTTTTTACAGTTTGTTCCTTTGTTTGTGGTTCCTTTAATTTTTTAATATCAATTCTACTTTGTGTGGGCTTTTTAACCAGTTTCATTTTGGTTCGTAATGTGACTACTGTGAAGTTATGGTCTGAACCGATGTCTACTCCAAGGTAAGTTTTGGCAGACAGTATAGAATTACGAAATCTTTGTCTAATGAGGACAAAGTCAATTTGATTTCGGATTATTCTATTCGTTGTATTAATGGGAGATTTCCATGTATACAATCGTCTTTTTGGTAGCTTAAAAAGTGTATTAGCTATTACAAACTCTTCCGTCTGGCAAAATTATATCAAACCGTCACCACTTCATTTCTAGTTCCTAGACCATATTCCCCCACATATCCATCCACTCTTCCCTGGCCAAATTTGGCATTGACGTCGCTCATTACTATTGTAGTGTGATGACGTAGACCATTTTTTAGAGCTATAAACTAGCACAAATCACCTAAAATGGTAGACGCTTGTAATAAGTACGTATATTCACTTGAGCTGAACCTTTAGCACTAAAAGAAATAGTTAAGGATCGACTATCTTTTAAATAAATATTTTTAGAAACAGTATTATACAGGGTGTTTCAAAAAGGTATGTTTATAAATTAAATCACGTTTTCCGGGGACAAAAATAAATTGATTGAATCCAACTTACCTTAGTACAAAAGTGTACACAAAAACAATTACAGTCCTTGGAAGTAACATAATAAAAATTGTTTTTTTGCACTATCTCCTAAACTACTTGACATTTTGTAATAAAAATGGGCACGTTTACTTTCGTGTTTTGAAAGCATTTTTCATACAAAAGAAACAAGAAAATCTAAGCAAACAAAAAAATTTTAAGTAGGGTGTGCTGCCCTAAATCCCCGTAAACTTTTGAATATGTTCAAATCAAGTGAATTTTGTGGCATCATTATTTTAACACATTATTTTTAAAACTTTTTGTCTCCTATCACTTTTTCAAAAAACTAGATTTTTTCCCTAGTTGGCCATAAAATTACAATTAGTTTTCTACGGATACAATAATTACAAGCAATCCATCAATAATAGTTAATAATTTTAAGCTATCATTTATTGTGTGAATAAGATAATATTAAAAATTTTGATATTACAATGGCCTACACATTTCATGAAATGACAGATATACAGTTAACTTTGGGTAAGTTGGATCAGATTAAATTATGATTTCAATAAACTATCTTGGGAATATCGTAGGTGAATGTCAAGGAAATAGTGCAGAGCAGCGGTAGGGGCGTTATGCAGTAAAATACCCAATCGAAGTACAACCCGATAGACGATTATTTCTGACCATTGATCGTCGTTTACGGAAAACAAGTACATTCCAACCGCAAGTTGCTGACAATAGTGGTCGTCCAAGAATGGATGCAACTGATGAAGACATGTTAGAAATCATTAAAGAAGTCCTTGGAACAGGTACAAGGGTAATAGCTGCTCAACTAAATGTTCCTCACGTAAGGTGTTTGGAGGTTTTTGAAGGATCAGCTGCTTAAAACCTATCACTTAACAACGATTCAAGAGTTATTGGTTGAAAATTATCTTAAAAGGCTTGGATTTTGCGATTGGTTGTTAATGAAAACACTCGAAATGTTAATTTTATTAGAAAGATTTTGTTTAACCGACGAGACTACCGACGAAAATCCTCACGCCAAAAAAACGACTCATCACCAAACGACTTTCAAAGTTAATGTTTGGGCAGGAATTGTGGATAACAATCTAATGCCCAGTATTTCTTCCAACAATTTAAACGATGATAATTTATTTGCAGTTCTTGACAAACGATTTACAATAGTATTACAAAAACCAAAACGCCTTGAAGTAGCCCACCACCCCTCCCGTAAGGCAAGATATGCAGTGGTTTCTTTCATCTACTTCTTCTTTTCCTTCTGTGTGAACAGAATGGGAGCTAATGCAATAGAGCGACGGAACAACAATTTGAAGGTTAGAAATCATTGAAACCGCACGCAACTGAATTTGGTCACACAAAAATCTGATTTTACTAAGGTCATAGTTATAATTATCCCATTACTGTCATTTATGTTCGGGTTTGTCCTTATTAAAACGATCACCGAATGTGCAATGTTGGCAATAAAGATAATGGGCTGGGGACATTTTGAACATTTTTATAATGGTATCAGGAGGGGGGCGGAGGGCGGGAGTGGGGATTTTATAGAGGTTATAGAGCATTTTTTTGTACTTGTTAATTCAGAGATTATAATATCTAGCGGAGGTTAAGATGAAAAGAAGCAGAAGAAGATGTCCATTATTTGAGTTGACGTAATTTTTTAAAGCGCGATGGGTTTCATTTAAAAAAGAGCCGTAACTCAATAAAAAAACTAGCTTTTTTAGACCGGCGCGCGTGAGTTATGGAAACAAAAAAATTTTAAAAAGCTGAGGATAGAAGCAGAAATGATGCGCTGGGTGGGGATTGTGGTGGGGGGGGGGGGGGGGATGCGGGGGGGGTGAATGGATTGGGGAGTTTGTATTGGGGGGGTTTGGAGGTTTATTGGGGGGGGGGGGAAGGGTTTTGTGATTAGAATTTTATAGTTAGGGAGGGGTGGGGGTGGTGGGGGGGTGTTTGTGAGGGGTGGGGAAGGGAGATGGTTATTGTGGGTTGGGGGGGAAATGAGGAGGGGTGGGGTGTTGATGGTTGGTTGGGGGATGTTTGGTGGTGAGAGTGGTGGTGGGTTGGGAGGGGAGGGGGGGGATGGTTGGGGAGGGGTGTGAAGAGATGTGATTTGTGAGGTGGAAGAGGGGGGGGGGGTTATGGGGTTGTTTGTGGTTTTGTGGGGGGGTTTGTTGTGGTTGTGGGGTGTGAGGTGGGGGGTGGGGGGGGGTGGGTGGTTGGGGGGTTTTTTGTTTGTGGGTGGTGTTTTGGTGTTGTAGTGTTTTATTGTTTGAAATAGTGGGTAGTTTGGTGGTTTTATATAGTGGTGTTTGATTGTTGGTTTGTGGGTGATTAGTACATCGCCAAACATGTAAAAAAGATGACTGGTTACAATGTATTTTTTGTAAACGCTGGTTACATGAAACTTGTATCTGGCTTCGCTAATTCTCTGTAATAAGTGCGAAAAGTCTCTTGCTATAAAAAGAAAAAGGTTTAGCTTGGTCCATCTCTCCTACTCCTAGTGGCCCATCTCACGTCCACAGTTGAGGAGAGATGGACCGATGACGTGCCAGTGTAGTATATATATGTATATATATATATATATATATATATATATAATATATATATATATTATACATCCTACTATCATTTTGGCATCGATACATTATCCTTTTACCATCAATTTAGCATCGTCTTGCAAAGTAGCATCTGTATATCGACGCTACTTTACAAGACCTTAATAACTTTTTTCCTGTACTTATGACAAGAATTTTAACCATCTCAATGATTAGAGATTTGATACCGTGTTGGTATTTTAAAATATCCGCTTTCTCTTTTTATCCCTTACTGAGTTATATAAGTTTATTCCAGGAAATGTTTGAGTCTTAAATGATGGTACAGTGAAAATATTATATATATCAGGGTTTTACCGTACTCGCTGTAATTATATACATGAAAATGTATATCACACTTTTATTATCAATCATTTTAGCATCAGAAATTTGGCATCGCCCACAACGAAACTATGCTTTACATATGAAAGGTAAGGTTCAAAGAATACCGGAATAATAAAAAACATATATGATATAACATTATATATTGAAATAAAAATAATGAAATAAAATTCACACTCAAATGTTTTCAATAAACAATATTTCATATAATGATTCTCAAAATTTTGTTCTACGTACGTGAACCTTCAAAATTAATGGTACAAACAATATTAGTTGAAATCTCAAAATCCCAATTATTATTCTAAATCTCCTAATCAAAATATTTATATCTTTTCTAAAGTAATTGTAAAAATTGTGTTATCAATAAAAGAAAAACTGCAGAAAAACAAAACTATCTCTCTATGATGATGAGTGGTCCAAATCCTTATTCCTTGTAGCCTACACTATCTATTCTTAGCAGCTCCCTAGGTAATCAGCAATCTTACAACAAATTGTTGCAAATTTATCGTCCTTAATGATCTCCTTCAAATGCACGAATCGTTCAAATTATGCTAGCTTCTTCTTCTCTCGATAAACTGAATCTCTCGTTGGCCTGAGTGAAAAATGACTCTTGAAATATCTTCTCTTTACGATAAACTGAATCTCTCGTTGGCCTGAACAGTAACTCTTGGAATATAAGTAGAAAAATATGACTTACAATCTTTTACTGGATCAGCTTCTGTCAGATACACTAACTACACGAAAACTCACAAACTTTCACTGCTACTGCTTCCTACCTCTGGGAAACTACCCGAGAACAACGGCCGTTCGCCTTGCACCCTTGGAAACCAACTGACTACCTTTTTTTTCTTCAAAAACTAACTAAAGTCTCATTCTCAAACCAACCATCCCACCTTTTTCAATCTCATCCAATCAAAACGCGTCATACATCTCCTATTTCTTCATTTCGATAACACAAACAAATTTTTACCTACAATTATAAAATTTCCGACATTATTTACAAACTAATCTTTTTCTACCAATTCTTATGAACTAACAAAAACATATCTTTCTAAAATCTATTCTATTGTCCTAATTACTGCATAAATTTATTTGGAAAACCCGCTTCCATTGTCTAAGATTTCACTTAAGCTCCTCACGTCACTCAAATATATTTTAACAAAGAAAATAATTTATGCATATCTTACGTTTTGTTCAATATAGGTAATCCAAAGATAAAGGACTTTCATTCTTCGAAATGTTTGTAGTTTATTATTCGACTTATCTGAATTATTTTAATTTTTTGAACTTTGAAATATTTTAAGCAAACCAATATTTTTCTCGATTTTACATATCATAACAATATATATATATATATATATATATATATATATATATATATTATATATATATATATATATATATGAATATATAAATATATTTTTTTTTAGGTTTAGGAATTATAATTTGTAGTTTTTGCTCATACTAAAACAAATACCAATGTTATGTTATACTTTTTTTTTTCTATTCTGATGTTTACTTAATAAAGAAACAGGCTTCAGTTTTCTAAAAGGTGGTCCATCTCTCTTCCCTTTACCCTATTTAAATTGAACGGATTATTAGTAGTATTTAATATTGGTAAAATTAGTACTATTTAATAATTTTTTGTACATACATAAGCATGGTTTTTAAATATAACTATTACAGTTTACTTAGATAACCGCTTCACATCCTAATATTCAGTTTTATTGCATTTAATCAAGTTAAAATATCGCTAAGAGTATTAGTAATCGTTAAAAATACATTTTGCGTACTTTATCTCTTATCATCCAACACAATCCATATATCGTCGTCAATAAATCCCGTCTACACCACTGTTGTCCTGAAAAGGTCACGGGATAGGGAGTATCCAACGTAGTGGCGGAGTTCGTAACATGTACGCAATTCAATGAAGAACTTGCGCATTGCAATTTTAGACTTGCAGACTCCGGGGAAATCATGTAGGGCGGGTGTGAAAAATCAAGAAAATGTGCGATGGAGAAACAGTATAGTGAAGATTTCCTTAAGGGTAAGTAGAAAATAAAATTATATTAGAATTAAGAACATCTTTGTGATATGTATATTAAATAAATGTTTAATATAATATCAGTTCTTAATTACAAATAAACCTTCAAAACATATAAGATCCTTTAAGCAATTTGATAAATTTTTGATGCGAGTGTAATGATAATTAAGGAGTTTTCGTTACTTTTAGTATGTTTTGGTTTTAAGCAGTGTTTTCCCTACTGAATATTTTATATACAACTAAGGTTGTAAATCCAATTGTGATATTATTGATCCATTCGTTTCTCATGGCCATTTATTTGTATGAAGGTGTACGCGCAATATCGGAAAAGTGTGTGCTTTCTCTATAATTAATAAAAAACAAAAAGGTTTAAAAGATAGAGAATAACTCGAATAAAGACAAAATAATAATTCGCATTTACTGCAACGTCTGATTTTTTATAAGACCACATTTTGGTTATTTGGCTTAATATATATTACGCAACTTTCAGTAAGTAGTAATTTTCATATTTTGTGGATACCAGTTGAATAGGAGCTAGCAAATATTGGTATAAGTTTTATTTAGATTTAAAAAATTACTTATTTTAAGTGTAAAAATTTGTCTCAATTTTTTTTAGAAGATATGGAAAATCTTAAAATATTGTTATAGATTTGAAAAAAACAGAAATAAAAAATAAATAGAATGGACTTGTTGTGGCAGGGGAAAGCGGGGCAGAGTAAACACTTTCTGAAAATTTAATTCACCAATGTTATATTTTCTTCAGAATAAAAATATTTTATGTTCATAGGTAGTCCACAACCTTAACCCTTTCACCACTGAATTTAGTTTTAACATGTAAGAGACTAAAACTATTTAGTTTTAGAATCAGAATTCTTCTTCTTCTAGTGCCGTCTCCACTAATGAAGGTTGGCTATAACCATTGCGAGTTGTCTCTATCTACTGATTTTCTTAAGAGTGTCTGTGTGTTTAACCCTTTCCAATCGCGAATGTTTTTCAGCCAGGATATTTGTCGTCTATGATCATGACCCCTTTTTCCTTAGATTTTACCCTTCATAATCAGCTGCAACAACTCGTACTTATCATTTCTAAGTATGTGCCCAAATATGCTGTCTTTCGCCTTTTAATGGTGGTCAAAAGTTCTCTGTCTCTTTCCATTCTATGCAACATCATTTCGTTCGTAATATGATCGGTCCATGGTATCTTCAAAATTCTC